TTCGGTAGTGAGTCCTAGCTTTCATTCAATCGGAATGGTAGTAACCGACGCTCATGAAAGGATTTAGGGTGTAGGCTTCAGGGCTTACGGTCAATAGCCGATGCTCATGATAGCAGCAAGAGTCGAACTTGCAAGACACGGATGAGAATAGTAACATGGGCTTCAAGGACGATGGTCTACCTCTTTAGGGAGGCGACTGACAAATCAAGTTGACACAAACGTCATGATGTCCATTCAATATCCGTGTGCCGAGTGACTTCTGGGTCTTTCTGATTGCTTCAGGGCGGACAAGTTGCACAAATCAGTGACACTACCGAAGCAGTCACAAGCGATGATGTTAGCACATCAAACACTACCTGGAGGATCCAAGGACATAGACTTTTTCGTACTTGGCACCAGAAGGAGAGTATTTGAGGTGATTCTATAGTCAGCCCTGCGTACTTCTACTTCTCTGTGTTCCCCGGNNGCTTCGGTAGTGAGTCCTAGCTTTCACTCAATCGGAATGGTAATAACCGACGCTCATGAAAGGATTTAGGGTGTAGGCTTTAGGGTTTACGGTCAGTAGCCGATGCTCATGATAGCAGAAAGAGTCGAACTTGCAAGACACGGATGAGAATAGTAACATGGGCTTCGAGGACAATGGTCTGCCTCTTTACGGAGGCCAGGTGCAAGCTCTAGAACCATACAAAACTAAAGCCCTGATAAAAAACACAACTTACAAAAGCAGACAAAACCAAAAAGCATCTAACCATCATAGAGAACGACATGAAATTATGGGTCTGCAATGCATGAGAACGCTCGCACCATCAATACTCCTAAACATACAGAAACCTCATCTTGAGAAGCCTGACACGTCAGACACAGACAAGAAAGAAAAACTAACACGTCAAGAGCAGTGTCTTGACACAGGACGTTCGATGTTGCTGCACGGGATTCCTGGGGCGATTGAGTAAGACTGACAAATCAAGTTGACACAAACGTCATGATGTCCATTCAATATCCGTGTGCCGAGTGACTTCTGGGTCTTTCTGATTGCTTCAGGGCGGACAAGTTGCACAAATCAGTGACACTACCGAAGCAGTCACAAACGATGATGTTAGCACATCAAACACTACCTGGAGGGTTCAAGGACATAGACTTTTTCGTACTTGGCACCAGAAGGAGAGTATTTGAGATGATTCTACACGCAGCCCTGCTTACTTCTACTTCTCTGTGTTCCCCGGTCCCAGATGTGTATCCTCGAACTTGGAGAACCCAA